TGGAGAAGAGAAGGTGAGCGGAGAAGAAGATAGTATGTGTTCGGGGGTGAGCTCACTTGATCACTTTCGAGGCACATTTGACGTTGACTTCGGTGATGTAGGCATCGGCTGGGGATTGTTAGATGCGTTAAGGTCCTTGTGGAGAAGTTCCAAGGATGACGCACCGTAGTCTTCGCGGGGACGCGTTTCCTGAACGGTCCGAATTGCGGTGACTTGGCCCTCGAGGGGCTTGATGCCACGGAGAATCTCCTCTACGTCCATTGCCTTGGGTAGTGGTTCTTGCGGGGGAGAAGTCTTTTATGGCGGGGTTGCGGGTGGAGGAGGGGCAGTTTGACGATGAGAGGGAAAACTGAGGATGGCGGATGTGTCCGGTCACGGCATTCTTCAATACAGATACTCAATCTGGCAGGTATTAGCTGCGCCGTCTTGGTCAAGATGCGAGAGCGGCAAGATGAGGCCGAATACTAACTTTCCGTCTGGATGCACGGGATTGCAGACCCTGTGCCCTAGGACCTAAGCCCTAGCAGGGGAGCTGGATTGGGACTAGAGGGGAGGAGTCAGGACTAAGACGTCATGTCATGTTTCCTCACGGGTAAGCAATACAGCCAGCACTGTCTTTTTCGATGACGCCTAAACCACTCGGGGCTACGGAGCGGGCCCAGCGATGGGTCAAATGGGTGGAACACAGTGGGCCAATCGATCCCTCTATCGTCCGAGAAGAGTGAAATATATCATGTATTGTGAATGCTGTACAGGGTGTTATACGAGTAAAAACCAGACATGACACTAAACGGAAAGATTCAAAAGAAGGAAAAACGAGAAACAGTAAATTCAAACAACACCAGCCATAAAGGATATCGATCGCTCCCCGCCATCAAAATATGCAGAAACAACATCAACTCCATGTCCGTGTATGTGTGATATGTACTGGTACAAACACATCGTCTTCCCACAAACTCTCCAGATAGTAGTAATCCCTAGCTTGCGCCATCCAAGCCCAGAAATATATGCAATCGATCTAAATCTTCATGCGTGGCTCGCAGGCACCTCAAATGTCGACGTCGGAGAAGAAAAAAAAAAAAAAAGGATCAACTGTCACGTCCGATCGCATACCCATCACATCGCTCGACCAAGCTCTTGTAGTAGTCTACAAGCACTTCGGGTTCGGGCACAATGCGCCACTCTACGCGGAACAGGAACTCCAACTCAAGCAGGGCTAGCTCGGTCATGGTGATACCGCCCACCCGAGCGTAGGTCTTGTTGGTCCAGAAGCTGTCGCTTAGGCCCTTGCTAGCTACCGTGGCGCTCGCAATGAGGAATCGATGAATCGTCAGGCTGGACACGGTGAAGGCGGGGTACAGAGCACAGAGTCGGTCAATGTAGTACACCATGCTCAGAAGGATCGGAGGGGACAGCGTAGCATGGGTGGTGAGTCGCTGGAGGTAGTCATGCACCGAAATTCGCGGCGGCGACCGCGAGTGAAAGCGAGTCAAGCGACCTTGATTCAGAGGGATCTTGTCGTTAAACCGGATCAGCTCCATCAACATGCTCGAGATCAACACAACAATATCCCGAGGATCCGCCAGCTCGTACCGCTCCGGCAGCAACTTGACTGCCGGAAATGTCCGGTCGCATTCGTTTCGACTGAGAGCCCTCGAGGTCAGCGTGAGCTAGGCCCGCGGCGCGCTCACCACCGACCGGAGGGTCGTTCGGGCTGTTACGCTTGTTGGACCCGGAGCCAGCGCTGTTGGGGACCGGCATTGGGGGAGTCGAGGTAGATTGGGCAACTGAGGCGGGAACGGAGGCTGCAGGTACGGCCGGGACAGACACGTTATTGGCAGGACGATCCTGAGCAGGGCGCATGGGATTGGAGGCGGGAATGGCGGCGTCAGCAGGCGGATGAGACGTGGTGCTACTTCCGCCCCCAGAGGAGGTCAGCCCGGCGGACATGCGACCGCGAGGGATATCCCCTGAGGGCCCGGGAGGGGATGAGCCAACGGTATGCCGGTTTAAGGCCGATCGAAGTTCTTCGATGGCCACCCGAGAAGATTGCGGGTCGAAACGAGAGTCGGAGGAAGATGCAACAGCAGCAGAAACGTGCCCGGCGGGCTCATAATGCTGATGCGAAGGCTGTCGTGGAAACGAGGTGAAGGGAGAAGAGGAGGAGGGCTGGGAGTGAGGGGACGGATGAGGATGCGAGTGAGAATGGGGAAGGGGATGAGAATGGGAATGATGAGTGGTAGTGGCAGTGGTAGTGGTGGTGGAAGGGGAGGGAGGGGATGGTCGCAGGGCGGCGGACGGAGAGGGCGACGAAACTAGCATTTCCGCCCAACGAGGCCACCACGTGGGCGCACGACTGAACGACGTGCAACGGAGCTGGCAGACGCTGCGAAACCTTGTGCTGCTGCGAGGGGTGAAGGTGGCGTGCACAGACGCATCGTGATCTGCGGGGGGGAGAAAGAGAGAGGAGCGAAATATTCAGCTCTTCAAGGGAGGGAAGGAGGCTGAAAGGCGGGGGAGAGAGAGAGGGAGGGAAAAGGGAGAGGAGAAGGAGAAGGAAAAGGAAGTGGAGGAGGATTGGAATTAGAAGAAGAAAAGTACTGGAGAGCAAAGAACTCCGACGAGCGAGAAATCATATACTAACAATGACGCCGATCCAGCAAGAGAGGGGGGAATATTACATTGGGAAAATTTCTCTTCAAACCGGCCCGGGTAAGTTTGGCAGTAAGAAAAAGTGAGAAATGTGAGTAAAAGTGAGTATGGAGCAATACGAGGACAGTATGATACGCAGGGAACAAAGCAGGGAAGCTCACCCTGCGTGGCCCAATTCACCAATGGGAGTCCCCGCTGGTCGGTCTAATCTCGGTCTAGTGTCCCGCCGCATTACAACCTCCCCTGTTTTTGACGCATCTCGGCAAAAGAACCAGATTATTACTTCGGACTCGCTGTTTTGCTGGTACTCATTAGGAGATAGATACTCAATTGGGTACAGTGCTACATGGATTGGGAAGGCGGAGTGTTTGACACTCCCCGGACCATCTTATCATGAATTACGGAGTAGCCATGACATGTATAAAGCACTGTATAGAATTACTCAAAAGTGCTTGCTCTGTATTTTACTACAATGTCAATGTGTGTGTGTGTGTGTGTGTGTACACTACTACTAGTAGTCCCGTATAGATAGTAAGTAACTTGGCGTCAAATGATGGTGACACAGACCTATCGATCTATCGACTCCAGGGGAGCAAACGAGGCGAGGAGCTGCATCCCTTTTGGTCTATAGGCCAAGAAGCTTCTCTCCTGTCCTTCCGGGTATCAGGGACACCCTTTCTTCCACATCCATCGCCCGGTCATTTGCTAAGGATCATGCGATGCTGAGTATGAATTTACCCCCATCGTCCGCACTTCCATTTACTACTAGTAACAACTACTCCAACTTCCCAAGAAAACCCCCCTCAAGCAGCTTCTTCTTAGTGACACCAAGCACCATTGCTTCCCTTCTTTCAATTAATTGAAAGTCACCATCCATCATGCACGCCTCGTTAAAGACTCGGATTCAAGGTTTGTTGCATCCCTTGTTTGGCAGTCGGGGCACGATCCCAAATACCATGGGATACATGGATACATGGGATACCAGTACTACCTCTTGGAGAGACTGCAGCCAATACTAATAGGGCTGAATCACATGATGACTCTGCTGTGTCCGGCGATGGATGACTCAGCACTTTCAGCTTACTACGCAACCGCAACCATCAGGTGATGTCACCTGATGGCTCCGGCCGAAAGCGGTAAGAGGCAATGGCTCCCCCGGGCAGCGGACCAAAGTATCACCACTAAGTCAACGTCCAGAAGCTCCCCCCATCTCCCCCAGTTCAGCTCAAACCCCAGATCCCTTGGTCGCGGATCTTGTTTCTATCTATACTACCTCTTTTCCATTCCGTACATAGCCTGTACTGTTTGTGTTTATTCTGTCATATTTGTTAGACCTTATCGGAATCTCAGTTCCTTGTCTTGTGGTACTGATCCGGTACTTTCACCACTCATTCCAGTTGCAACGCCATTACAATTCACAATTGCTTAACCATCGCCTCCGGCCAGCTGGCGATACGCACGCAACCTTCCTTCCTGGTCAAACCCATCCTCGAAAATTTTATCTTCCTCATCCCCCATACATTGGCCTGTTCATTCTCTCTTTCACCTATACCAACAATTTCCACGCGATCAGCTTTAACTTACTTGTTTCTCCGACGTAATCCATCCAAGATCCCTCCCGCGGGAGGCGGCGATTGCGCACCATGACTCGCGCCTCGGCCCCTCCACTTCTACTACAACTACAGAATGCAGAAACGTTGTCTGCCCAGGCAGCTGCCCTACGAAGCCTGAAGAACGAGACAATTGGTCATGACCAGCGCAAAGAGTCCTGGGTTCGATGGGGGATTCTTCCCGTGTTAGCCAATATCCTGGCCGCCCGGCAGTCTCCCGGAAAAGGCACGGCTTCCGCGGAGCTCGCCGGGGGTTCGAAGCTCCGCTATCCTACATCGGAGGAAGATGAAGCTTGTCTTCAAGCGGTTATCATTCTAGGGAGTTTAGCACAAGGTATATAAAATAACGCTCTGGTCAATCGGGTACTCTACACGTACTCTTATCTCAGCACGGGAACTGATGATCGAGCAGGCGGTGCGGCCTTCCTTTCCCCCATTTTCTCCAGCGGTGTTCTCCCGGCCCTTCTCTCCATTCTCTCTGCGCCGGAATGTCCCTCGTTCTTCGTTCTCCCGATTCTGCGAACCCTCAATAATGTGGCGGATCGACTGCCGCTCCAGAGTCAACAGCTATCGTCCAAGGACACACGCTTGGCCGATCTGCTCTTCTCCAACGATCACATTGGCTGCTTAGCCCGTATCCTTGGCCAGGAGTATGAAAGCCATCATGATCAAGCGGCCATTGAACTTGCTGCATCCCTGGTTGGGAAATTGTGCACGGAGGAGGTCCATAAGGCAGTCCTGGCGGAGTGCGGGGTTTTGGACGCCTTGGCCGTAAAGGTAGCTTCTTTCATCGTTGCCCAAGGCTTCGTACTCCCCGGTGCGGAAGCGCATGTGCAGGATCCGGGTGCTCTTGGTTCTCTACCAGCCCCTGCACCTGCAGGAGCTAAACTGGCGCCCATTCTTCGCGCCGTTACGGTCATTATCGAGCATTCCAAGTGGCGCGCAGAGCACTTTCTCTCATCACCCGGTATACTTACTGTGTTTCCTAGGCAGCTCCCCGAGTTTGCTCCGACAGACATCAAGAAGGGACCATGGGGCTCGACTTACTTTTCTGGTTCCGCCGTTCCCCGCCATGCAGGCGCAAGTCCCTTGGAGCACCTTTTGCCATCGGTTCCCTTGTCGCAGAGCAAGTCACCGGCGAACACTCCTAATTTCCCGCCTTTAGGCCATCAGGGTACCACTCACCGCCGACACAGCCAATCGTATTCTACGCCGATGTCGGTTTACGATCCTCCAACCTCTGAAGACGAGGAGAACCCCATCATTCCGTGGCTCCTGTATATTGTCCGTGCGGAAGGTGGTATGGTTCGGTTGATGGCGGCTCGTCTTGTGACCGTCCTTTTTCGCTTGGGGCTAACCAAGAAGCGTCGGGTCTCGATGCTATGCTACCTGCTAATCCCGATCTTGATCCGGATGCTTGATAAGGACTACGAAATGAACGGGGACGATGGAGTCCAATACGGGGGACTGATCCCTTCGACTGAGCGTCTTCGTGAAGAGGCCCCGTTTGTGCTGGCTACCTTAGTGATTGATGATTTTGAGCTGCAAAGGCATGCAGTCGATGGCAATGCCATCAAACGACTCTCTCAGCTGCTCAAAGAAACATACAATCCAGTTCAGGACGTCTCTCGTCCCATGTGGCATGCGGATGCTGAAGGAAGTATTGAGAGTCCTCCCGACACTTTGTCCGCAGAGTGCCGCCTGGGCTCCCTGGGCTTCTCTCCTGTTCATTGCCACATCATGCGATACCGGGAGAACATCCTCAAGGCCCTAGCAGCTCTAGTCCCTTTCAAGGACGAGTATCGCAAGGCCGTCTGTGAGAACGGCGTGGTACCGTACATCATCGACTCACTGAAGCCGTGTTCAGACGACCAATCGGCGGACCCGTCAGGTCCAAAGAACACCGCTTCGCATGGAAACCCGACCTCAACCCTGTTAGCTGCTTGCGGTGCCGCGCGGATGCTGACGCGCTCAGTCAGTGTCCTAAGGACGAGTATGATCGATGCTGGGGTGGCGACGCCTCTCTTTGTCTTGATTAAGCACCCCAATATCGAGGTGCAAATTGCTGCTACGCAGGTGATATGTAACCTAGCCTTGGATTTCAGCCCCATGAAAGAAGTTAGTTCTACCATCCTTCTGCTACTTAAGAGAATGCGCTAACAGGTCAAGGCGATTATTACCGCCGACGTCCTCCCTACCCTTTGTGAACACGCACACTCTCCGAGCACCAAGCTTCGCATTGAGTCACTATGGGCCTTGAAGCATGTGGCATATAATTCCACCAACGACGTTAAGGTGAGAATTATTGAAGGGTTAAGCCCCGCCTATATCCGGCAAATTATCACCCAGGATCCGACCAACGCATTGGCCAAGCGAGGGATGGATGAGGAGATGGACAACGGTTCCAGCGTCGGGATGGGGCGAGCCAACTCAGCTGGGGAGCAGGTGGATTTGCTTAACCCGGTTGATAACGCCACTGGGCAAGATGAGGACATGAAGATGGCAGACACAATGCCCCCGTCCAAGATGAGCCTGGATATGTTCCTTCCGGATGCCACGAGACGGCGCAAGTTGGCCTTGCATGGTAACCTCGACCAGACAACCCAGGCCCGGCAGGATGATATTGCAGTACAAGAACAGACATTCGACCTGTTGCGCAATATCATCTGCGGGCCAGGCGCATCCGAGATGATTGACCATTTGTTTAAGGTGATTGGTCAGGACTTGATTTTGGATGCGTTGGCGGACAAGCTCCGGCCCCGGTCGATCCAGCTTCCTCACCGGAGGGAGTCGTCAGCGCACCGGCCTCTGAGCGTTCCTACGGAGATTCTGGTGTCAGTTACCTTCGTCATGATTCATCTGGCTGCGGGCCTCCCGTGGCACCGCCAGCTTCTGGTGTCACACCGGGACTTGCTACGCTACTTGATGGAGTATTTCAATCATAGCCATCGTGAAGTCCGCACCAATTGTGTGTGGGTAGTGATTAACCTTACATACAAGGACGATGCGAGTGAGGAGGAAGGGTGTCGAGAACGAGCGTTCCGACTGCGAGCGATGGGAGTCATGGATCGGCTGGCCAGTCTTGGGGATGACCCCGATCTGGACGTGCGGGAACGGACAAGGACAGCCCAGGATCTGGTCAATCACTTGACGCACACATAGTGAGAAAAAAAATTTATAATATTAGGCTAGCTATGCATTCGGGGGCCTGGATTTTGCGGACTATTTGGACTGGATCGATGGAATTCCAGACAATCTGGGAGGCGTTTGAGGGGCTGTTGTGTACAAAGCGTTGGTTTACTCATTGTAGACGGTGCTTGAACAGCACCAGGAAACTCATCCATTTCTACTGTGTGAATTTTGTTCGTGGCAACTTTCTGGTTCCTCTTCCTTCTATTGATTGATATCTCATCCTCCATCCCAACCTTCAGTTTCAGGCATCCCAAATGGGTTATCTTATCGATAAGATAAGGTCCGAGCGACGTCATCGGAAGGTCTGCCGCTGAAATCGTTTCCGGCCAATCTTACGCTGCTGTTTGTTTTTGTCCTGATGTCCCCTTCTTTTTCCGTGGTCCCCCTCTTCGTTCTCCTCTTTGTTCCTGACTTTTACCATCGTCACATCTTCAGTTGCGTGTGTGCTGATTGAGACGATGGCTCCCGTGCCTGCCACGCTGCTGCGTGCCCTCTCCATCCCTGACCCCGCCAAAGCCAGCCTGTCCACCGCCGGTCTAGGGTCGGGCTTCACAAACACCGGTGCAATACGAGCTACAGTTCCCCGCTCCGACGGCTCAGGGGAAGAAGAACGACGCTACTTTGTCAAGACCTCTCCAAATGGCGAGGCTGCGGAGGAGATGTTTCGTGGGGAGTACGAATCGCTCAATGCGATCGCGACGTCCGTGCCCGGATTCTGTCCGCGGGCTCTCGCCTGGGGCCCGCTGGAGGAAAGCGCTGGGACAAGCTTCTTCCTAGCAACCGAGTTTTTGGAATTAGGAGGAGCCGGCCGTCGAGGTCGAGGAGATACATTAGCCCAGCGATTAGGCAAACTACATTCGACGCCAGCACCCCCCGACCCTGCAACAGGACGACGTCGATTCGGATTCCCTGTTCCGACCTTCTGCGGGGACACCAAGCAGCCCAACCGCTTCTGCGACTCGTGGGCGGACTTCTATGCCAACGAGCGGCTGCTCACCATCCTCGAGTCATCAGAAACCCGGAATGGTCGTGATGCCGGCTTGCGGGATCTGGTGGAGCGGACGGCGCGGACGGTGGTCCCTGCATTGCTGCGGGACGGACACTTAGGTTACGACAGGGATGGGAATGGACAGGGTATTACGCCTGTCGTTGTTCATGGGGATTTGTGGAGTGGGAATGCAGATCGCGGTCAAATTGTGGGCAGCGGTCGCAAGGATGACGAGGAGGTAGGCGATGTAGTCTATGATCCGTCGGCATGCTACGCACACAGCGAATATGAATTGGGAATAATGAGGATGTTCGGCGGGTTTGGATCGGCTTTCTTCGCAGCATATCATAAGATTGTGCCCAAAACTGAGCCAGTGGAGGAGTATGAGGACCGTGTGCGATTGTACGAGTTGTGAGTTGTCCTCCTGGCTTTCGGTCTGAGTTTTTGGGAAAGAAGCTAACAAAAGAAGATACCATCATCTGAACCACCATGCGATATTCGGAGCCGGATACCGATCGGGGGCTGTGTCTATTATGCAGAAGTTGCTGAGAAAATATGGGGATTAATGCTTGAGCCGGACAGAGTAGCTGCTATTGAGCTCGTTTCTAGAATGCCTTGGGGGGCCGTCTACGTGGATTGTTCTCTGCTCGTTAATGGCGACATTCATGACTGGTATCACAATTGAGCTATTCCATATTCGTATCTTTAGTATATTGCTACTTATTACTACTACTTCACTGTAGGCATATCTTGATCCCTTACCGCATGCGGGGTTGTGATCATATGCCATCAATTAATAAGCCCATGACACCATCCTCTGAGTATAAATAAACAGCCACTGCCGCCCACCGGACCATCCCATCGTCAATTCCACATCCATCTCGCAATGGCCGTTCCTGACGCAGACGTTCACCCCGAAGCTACCGGTGCAGCCAAAGCGCTGGTTGACCGACACCAAGCTGAGCAACCATTAAAGCTGTATGCCGGCTGGTTCTGTCCGTGAGTTACAACCCCCTCCCCCCCTTCAAAGTGCACTTTTTGGAATCTTCTACTAATGCCTCCGCAGCTTCGGTATACTTCCCACCCCTCATATCTTCTCACTACTCCATTCATAATCGACTAATCAATCTCCAGTCCAACGTGTCTGGCTTGTTCTCGAAGAGAAACAAATTCCCTACCAGTACATCGAAATAAACCCCTACCACAAAGAACCCTCCTTCCTCGCTCTGAACCCACGAGGCCTCGTCCCCACTATCTCCGTCCCCGACCCCTCAACCAACACCTCCAAGCCTCTCTACGAATCCACCGTCATCCTCGAATACCTCGAAGAAGCATACCCAAACCACCGACCTCTCCTCCCTTCTGACCCGTACCAGCGCGCCCGTTCCCGCATCTGGATCGACTACGTCACCTCGCGCATTATCCCCACCCTGCACCGCTTCCTCCAGTACCAGCCCTCGACGCGCGGAATTGAGGGCCTGCACCAAGCCCGTCAGGAGTTCCTCTCCACCTTGAAGGAATGGGCTAAGGAGATCGACTCCTCGGGGCCGTATTTCTGGGGCTCGGAGGTGTCGCTTCCGGATTTGGTGCTCGCGCCGTGGGCGTTCCGACTTTGGGTGTTTGATGAGTTTAAGGGTGGATTAGGGATCCCGAAGCCCGGAGAGGGGGGGGAGGATGAGGAGGTTTGGGGCAAATGGAGAAAGTGGCAGGAGGCTGTTGAGGGACGGCGGAGCGCGAAGGAGACGACGAGTGAGGCGGAGCATTATCTGCCCATCTATAAGAGGTATGCGGATGATAAGGCGCAGAGTTGGTTGGCAAGAGCAACGAGAGAGGGTAAGGGGGTCCCATGATTCATGATGAATAACTCCGTGGTCATACGAGATGAGAAATTCATACTAGCTTTTGAACTATAGTCTCGATAATCTATATAGAGCCTGCTACTACTCGTAGTATGAGCTCTCTAGAGGGGATTTGTTGGAGCTAGTAATCAGGCATTTACTGTTAGGGTCCCGGCTACAACTCACAAATTAATTTGATCAGTACCAGTGAGCAGTAATTCTATCTAATCTCCTTCAAATATCGAGCAAATTAACCTCGCGCTAGCCATACAATATTGGGTTCAAGTAGATAGGCATAGCCAGTAACCAGAAATACATCAATACAACATCCAAGCGAATAGAGAAGCTAAGTGGGCCTCTCAGCTAGAAGCTTCAGCTTGTATCCATGGCTAATCATTGGTACCCACTACTAAATTTTGTTAGAATGCGGTCAGTTTGTTGATTCTGTTCAACAATGTCAAGATGTTCACTGTTATGCAACTACATAAATTAGTCACCATACAGTACCAGGTATTGTAACTTACGTATTGTAATTCGACATTGAAAATGTGCCCGTCACATGACCGGCTGGCCAATGGTCGTCGTCGGCGGCCATCAGCATTAAGAAGCATCCCCATCCATTCCATCCCATCCAGAGCTTCCCTCTCCAGCCATCGCTCATATATCAATACTCTCAGCATGGCTCCCGACAAGAAGGAAGAAGCATCCTCCCCGGATGCTGCCATCCCCGACCCGCCGCCCATCCACCCGTCCTTCATCCAGGTAGCCAAGCCGTACATCTTTGAGCAGACCATTCAGCAATGTATTGCCGCGATGGGTGTCAATCCACTGCGCGAAGAATCCCTTCGCTTGCAAGGCGTGACCTGGATCGATAATGTCCGCCGTGTGCTCTACCTGTAGGTGCCCATGCGCCGGATTCTCCACTGCTCCCAAAGCTCAAAATAGCTAACCAGGTAGTTAGCCCGATCCGCACCTTTAACACGGCTGTGGTGTACTACCACAAGTTCCGACTCGTTCATCCTGACAACGAGTATAATTATATGGTACTGCCCACTTTATGTCCCCTATTGTACCACTCGACGTGTTTGTTAACTCTGATCCAGGACGCCGCTGCAGCTGCGCTCTTTACTGCCTGCAAGATCGAGGACACGTTGAAGCGGTCCCGGGAGATTGTTTGCGCTGCGTATAATCTCAAGCTGCCGGCACAGGAGCACATGGCTCCTGATAATCCGGTAAGCTGTTGCTTCTGACCTCTCTCATGAGATGCATGCTAATAAAGGCAGGTCTTTGAAGCACACGCCAGAGGCATCATCGGCCTGGAGAGACTAATGCTGGAGGCATCCGGCTTCGACTTCCGGACCCGCCATCCGCAAAAGACGCTCATCAAGCTCGCCCGGAAGTACGGGCTGACTCCGCAATCGGAGGTCTCGAACCTGGCGTATCGCATCTCGCAGGACCTCTATCGTACGTACGCGCCTATCAAGCAAACGACGTCCACCATGGCCTTCACCTGTTTGGAACTGGCGGGGCGGTTACTTGACCAGCGAATCGAGGCCGTGGAGCAAGGCGTTGACTATGCAAACTGGAAGACGAGTCGTGAGGAAGTAATGGGTAAGGCCGAGCCAACTTCCCTGCATTGAAGCTCAAAGCTAAATCGAAACGAAAGAAACTCTCTTCGACCTCCTAGAGCTCTACACCCACAACCGCGGACACACCACCGTCGGTCCCCATTTCCCAGCGGATCGCTTCCTCACCGTCCGCATTCCACTAAACACCGAAGCCGAGTCCCAGAAACTACCCCGGTACACGAACTGGGTTCCTGAACCTCGCGAAAGCAAGGCCACGAACGGCGACAAAGCCACGAAGGATGCCACCACCAAACTGCACCCTCTCACTCCTGTTGCCGCCAATGGAGACCGGCCCAGAGCTACAGAAAAGGGCCGCGATGGCGCCGTGCGCTTTATGCTGGATCCGGAGTGCGCTGATGCCGAGAAATCCCACGTAGCGACGTACTTCAAAGTGGAGATGGAAGAGTACGAGGTTGAGGAGTGAATTGCTTTGATTCTCTCTCACACAGTCTCCTGATTGCCATATATCAGATGGACACTAGGCTGCGTTCCAGCTGCAAGTAACGTGCATTGCTCTGCACGTGTTACTACATAATGCATCCTGCATAGAGGCCCGTCTCGTCTGGTCTCGTCTGAGCACGCGGGCGAATCACCGAGCATGGCAATACGCCTCGGGCCTCACCTCACTCAGACGAGGACATTCGCGCCCCGCTCAACTGTTGATCGACTGATGGATGACCCACAGGCATCTTCAAGCGACAAGGCCGGAATGTGACTCCTCTTGAGCGAGCCCCCTGGTAAGTGTTCGTGTGCCGTGTGCCCACATATTGAGAAGGACAGACATTCAGAAAGGTCATTCGGACTCTTTAATGAGGCTCCGTGTCAGCGTACACCGACAAGCGGCCCAGGAGGGTGGAAGCATTCCAGGGGACTATGACCGCACCTATATAAACCTGCTTTAGTACATACTTACCAAGACAAAGACAGAAAGTTAGCGATATATTGAATGCAATGTATACTACCATCCATACTGCCAATCATTCGTTTATTAGTATCATCAATGTGTAGTGCACTCCGAGTAGATAAGACGTGCATATCAGTAATAGTAGCTGCCTATGCTGAAGAGGTCGTGAAGGGGAAACCAGGATAGAATGAAATCAGATACATGAGGGAGATACAAGCAAGCTTGTGCCTATCAGCCACGAGATACGGATAATATGCTAGTATTATCGTATACAAATCTCCTTGCGTTATTGTCCCCTTTACTATTACATTATTACACTCATCCTTACCACAAAACAACACCATAACAACAAAGGAATACAGTAATATGAAAGAAACTGCAATGAAGAGAGCTGGAGGACAGGAATAAAGAATGATAGGTTAGAAAAAAACAAGATGACTATAAACTACCATAGTATGTAAACAGTGTAGTGTCATGTCAGTCTCATGTTGCAGGGTTCAATATTCCGTATCCGCGCCCCCTGCTGCATTCCAACCATCACTCTCCATTGTTTTCACGTATGCCTGCTTCCCCCTCCATCCTTTGCTTCCCCCCCTTTTTCGCCTTCTGAAAACATGTATACACCAATGAACAACAACCCCCAATGCAATGAGCAAGGAATATAGAATAAAAGTAGCGATAGCGTGACAGATACATGCATGCATGCAGGGTGCTGCACATTTCCAAAAGAAAGAGCTTCCCGGTGCTGGCTCATGAGTGAGAGCGCATCCCGGGAGGCTAGAAAGGTGATTAGAAAGGTGTATAGATGGGACGTAGCTCATTTTTAACCCTCAACAGCAACTATAGAGAGAGAAAGAGAAGGATAGGATATTCATCACGGAGATCCATTGGATCAAGGGCAGGTCGAGTCGTCATGCTTCCGCTCTAACGGCGGAGCTCGGTGTTGATACAATCCAGGATCTGTAGGTAGATAAAGTTAGATATGACGCAAAGCGTAGACTGGGAACAGGGTTGGCTTACTGTTTCAGAGACAGTACCCTGGTTGTACAGGTACTTGCTCAGACCCCGGACGACCTCGAGTTGCTCCTCCACCGACAGACCGTTGATGGCGATCTCAATTACATCTCCGACGCTCGCCTTGAACACCGCGATGAAGCTGTGGTAGTACATGTACGAGAAGAAGCCCATGATGAACTGGCAGTCCATGCGGTCAGTGATGCCACCGTGACCCGGGATCGACTCGCCAAAGTCCTTGATCTTGAAAGTGCGCTTGAGACCGGAGGCGAAGAAGCCGCCAAAGGGAGCGATAAGAGAAGCGAATGTGGCGAAAATCAGAATGTGGAACTGGATAGGCTCAATATGGAAGGTCTTGTGCATGCCGGTCCACTCCGGGACATGGTAGGGCTGGGGCACGAAGGCCGGGTTGGGCGAGCATTGAAGACCCGTCAAGACGTTGGCACCCAGATCATTGACGGGGCAGATGAAGTACTTGTAGCGCATCAGGATGTTGGTCATGAAGTAGCCGAAGATGATGGTGCAAATCCACGCGCCAAGGAACCCTTCGACAGTCTTCTTGGGGGACAGCTGGATAAGCTGGGTGCGACCGAAGGTAATACCGCAGACGTAGGCAAAGATATCGTTCGTGATGACGAGAGAGGCGGGAAGGAAGAACCAGATCATGCCCTCCAGGATGTTGTTCATGACAAAGTGAGCTTGAACGACGATCAGGTAGAGCGCCATATGCGTCCAAGCGAACTGGGTAAATTGGAACCGGTACTGTCCTTTCTGCAAGGACGCGACGAAGAAGACGAAGCCTAGGATTACCTGTCAGCAAGAAAGAGGCAAGCGTCTACGCGCGAAGAGGATAGACTGACCCATAACATAAAGCGTGAAGCTAATGAACCGGTGGTGGGTAGCTAGAGGCAGCAGCACCCGATCCACCAGAAGCACATGCTTGAAGTAGTAGATGACGCTCTCTCCGTATAAGAAGTACATGGTCGTAGCCAGAAAGTACCAATTCAGCGACTTGGTGAAGCGGAGGTTTTTCTCCTTACTGGGCACATTGGCAATGGCGATAACCTCCTTGAACGAGATGATCTGGACAGCGGTAACGATGCCGATGATGTAAATGTGGCCGGAAAACATGGCAACGAAGAAGCCGAAAATCATCACAAAGGTCCATATCGTACGTGTAATAAAGGTCTGTTTCTTCTTTTCGTAATCGGACAACTGGGGCTTCTCGGATTTCTGGTCGTCATGTCAGCCTTGTCTGCAACACAGAAACACCTTTCACGGGGGTTTCCGGAAAGCTCGCAGCTCCTCACCTCCTCGGGAATGGTGGCAGGCGCGGTGACGCTGCCATCTTTGGCCGGGCTACCGGGGTCGGAGAGGACATCGCTGGCATCAGAGATGCTCAAGCGCCGACCTTCAGAGGAGTTGGACATCCGACGTGGGAACCTGACGTTCCGACGCGATTTGGACATGACGGAAAGTTATGTACAGGGGAGCAGGGGAGAGCGACGGAGAGCGACGGAGCACGGCGGCTTCTCGAGTCGTGGCTGCGGGGAGAGAGATCAAGCT